CTCCCGGTTTCACTCAAAATTGTTTTTCAGTTCAAAACTTGGTACGCAATGTACCCGAAAATCTAGGATTTTAGATTTAAATCATGTCTTGGTGTTGAATTTATTTTTAAAATGGCTCAAATAATTTATTCAAACACCGATTTCATCGCAAAAATTTTTATAGAGTGAAAAATGGCTATTTTGAAATTTCTTAAAATCAAATTTATAAAATTAAATTTTGGGTTGTCACAATAATAATAATAATAATAATAATAATAATAATAATAATAATAATAATAATAATAATAATAATAATAATAATAATAATAATAATAATTAAGGGAAATGTTACGTTCTCCCACTTGGCGCAAACATGGAACCCAAAGAACAAGATTACACCAACCATAATGATATGTCCTCATTAGCGCGAGTATTACCCATTATGATCAAATGCAAATTGCCGTACTTAATTAGGTAACCAAACTTAATGAAAAAAACCATATGTTCATTTCAAGTCCACTGAAGTATATTTTCTTATTGAGATAAAACTGAAAAGTGTACACACTCAAAGAAAATATCCGAAGTGCAAAAGAATTTCATTAAACTGAAATGAATGTATGTACAAATTTACAAAGTGGACGAAAGTCCCATTTTATGAACCAGATCCTTGAATTTCAATGGAGGCATGCCTTTAGTCAATGGATCTGCTAACATCAACTTAGTATTAATGTGTTCAATGAATATAACTTTATTCATGACACGCTCCATAATGGCTAAGAACTTGATGTCGATGTGCTTACTTCGACTCCCACTTTTGTCATTCTTAGCTAGGAAGACTGCAGCTAAGTTGTCACAGTAGACTTTCAATGGCTCAAATATAGAATCCACAATTCTAAGCCCGAAGATGAAATTCTTGAGCCATACACCTTGCGAAGTGATCTCGAAACAGGAAACGAACTCGGCTTCGATGGTAGAAGTAGTTATTAAGGATTGTTTAACACTTTTCCATTAGATATCCCCACCGGCCATTATAAAGACATACCCCGAAGTTGATCTCCGAGAATCAACACAGCCAGTGAAATCCGCATCAGAATAACCAACAACATCCATGATGTCCGTATGCCTAAAACCCAACTTGAAGTCTTTGGTACCTTTTAGATACCTCATAACTCTCTTCACAGCTCCCCAGTGGTCCATGCCTGGATTATGCAAGTACCGCACCAAAACTATAGATTATGCAATCAAAATAAAACTAGGCAGAGATTAACTTGGCTCAGATACCAAATGTAACCACATAATCCACGTTGAATCAATTAATACGCGATAATAAAGGATAAACTCACTAACCTCCAGCCATAGTTTGCATTTTTTATTGCCTGAATCCGTTGTCTGTTGAACAGGAGTTCCTCGAGCTGCTGTGAAATCACTGTAAACTAGAAAAGCGTTTCTCTCACTTATCTCAGTTACTCGAGATGGTGTATGAGTCGTCAACTGAGCAGTGAGAGGACTTAGGAGTCTAAATACCTACATCCCATCAATGTAGGCAACCAATTACCTAATGCCGACTAAGTTCTAATACTTATTAATCCTTATAGTTTGCACCACATAAATTACTTATTATTATTATTATTATTATTATTATTATTATTATTATTATTATTATAATCCTAATAATAATAATAATGATTAAGAGAAACATTACATGCCCCTCCATAATATGTCAATAATCAATGTCACTCCTGAATTATTAGTAAATTTTCAAAACAGTACATATATTGCCCCTACCGCAGTATAAATGTTGCCCCTCAAATTTTCCTCCCGTACGGTACGGGAGAGGCAATAATAAATGTTGCAAAAATCCCGCCTAGGCGCTGGCCGGCGGCCTAGCGTATCACCATAATTGGTGGTCTAGGCGGCCGATTAGGCCGCCTAAGCGTTGCATAGGCCGGCTAGGCACTGACCGCCTAGGCCGCCTAGGCACTGACTAAGTTTCCTAGTCGGTCGATTATGCTATTGTTTCCTTTTTTTAAAATGGGTTATTTCATTCAAAACGACATCATTTTGACCAAAATAACCATAAATTTTCAAACTCTATATGTTTTTAGGCTAATATTTAGTATTTTAGTATTAACTATTAAAGTATTAAATAATTTATAATTATCAAGTCTTTTAAAAAAAATTATACAAATTTTAGAAAAGGGAAAATTGCATCTTTAGTCCCTGAGTTATAACCAAGTTCCGACTCAGTCCCTAAGTTATGACCATATTCAAGTTTAGTCCCTCAGTTATGAGCGAAGTGGCGAGTTTGGTCCCTAGCGTTAATATTCCGTCTGCAGCTAACGGAAAACTTAAAAACAATTTAATAATAGAGGGGTAAAATAGGAATTTCAAATTATAATCACCTTCTTTTGTTGAAACTCATTGCGCAACAGTCATTCTTTAATTTTTATACATACAATCGAAGGTCTTTTTCTTCTCAAGCCCTGAAATCTCAAATTCGTCCACTTCCAAGCTACAAAATTCATAGGTAAGTTGTTTCTCTATTTTATATGTTTAAATAAATAATCAATATTCCCGTATTGATGAACTGATTTAGCCATTAATTATATGATGTCATCTCTTAGTTGTGGTACTTCATCTTTCTCTCAATTTGTGGATAATTTTCGATGTAGATGTGATGATTTATTACCCATCAAAATGTCATGGAGTTAATCGAGGGAAAAGATACCAAGCTTGTCCATGTTATGGAGCAATTTTTTGTATTTGTCAAAAAATTGTAATTTAAGTTGTTTTTTATAAATAGAATATAAATATTGAAATTTGATTTTTTAAAAAAACGAGAGAGGGTTTCTTCTCTGATTATATAAGCAACTTAGGGCTTTTGTCGATTTGGGAAAAGTATTTTGGCTAAGTTTACAAGTTTTACTAAGTAATTTACATCTTTACCCCCTGGAATTAACTTTGTCAACACACCACTAGCGTCAGGGACCAAACTCGTCACTTCTCTCATAACTGAGGGACTAAAAATGGATACGGTAATAACACAGGGACTGAGTCGTCACTACGGTTATAATTCAGGGACTAAAAATGGATACGGTAATAACACAGGGACTGAGTCGTCACTACGGTTATAACTCAGGGACCAAACTCTCCATTTTCCCTTTAAAAAATAAAAAATAAAATAAAAATACTCGACCGCCTAGGCGCCGATTAATCCCCTTATCAAGCCTTTAAAAAAAATTATACAAATTTTTAAAAAAATAAAAAATAAAATAAAAATACACAACCGCCTAGGCATCGATTGATACCCGCCTAGACGGCCTAGGCGCTAGGCGACCCCCGAGCGTCCGATGTGCGTCTAGCGATTTTTTTCAACAATGGGAAATACATGTACCGTTTTAAAAATTAAGGGTCAACATTTATACCACTAATAATTCAGGAGTGACATTGATAATTGACATATTATAGATGGATATAAATTACAATTTTCAATTTTTAATTTTTGGTATTTAATAGAGGAGGGAATTTTCCATAAGCATTAATATTTATTATTCATAAGCATGAAGTCGATTACAGATGAAAGAAGAACAAAAAACTACTTCAGAATACAAAAGCTAGCTGCTACCTACAAAACATCAAAAGGAAACCAATAGGAACCAACTAAGCTGAGCCGGACAAAGAGGGAAATTAAAATCGTTGTTTTTTAATTTAAACTTTTTTCCTTTTCAAAAAAATTTAAACTTTTTTCAAAGACAACAGTCATGATCCATCAATTATTTTTTGTGTGTTTTCTTTAAACGAAATTTCATATTTTATAAACAGACAATAGTATTTCAAAGATAACAGTTTTAAAAAATTATTGTAATGTATTTGAGTGTGATTTTTATCCAAAACAACGGTTTTGATCCCTCCATTGTTTTTGGTGTGTTGACTTTATGTGAAATTTGATGTTTTGTAAATAGAGGACACTTCAATTGCAACCATTTTAAAAAAGTGTTGCCTTTGACCATATATTTTTTTCAAAGACAACGCCCGCGATCCATCCGTTGTTTTAAAGTGTGTTGTCTTTAATTAAAGTTTGACATTTTATAAATTGACAAAATCTCAACGTTGTCTTTGAGCTTACTTTTTTTCCCAAGTCAACAATTTTAATTCATCAGTTTTTTGACGAAGTCATTTTGTATGTAATCAGCAATTACCTAATTTACCAAACATCTTTCTACCATCAGCTAATGCTATTAAGAGTCAAACCCACTAAACCAATCATCTAACAACTATTTACCAAACACCGTACTTCATAATTTACAAAAAAAAAAATATTATTATAAACTCTTTACATTTTATTACAATATAAAATCGAGTATGGAGATCGAGAAGAGAAAAATTGAATCCACCCCACCAACATCGATGGTAGGCAAAGCTACTGAGCTAAAGTCAAAACAGCTGCGTGAACTTGAGACATTATATTATGCTGAGAAGAGAAGAGAAGAGAAGAAAAGAGCGCATGTGAGAAGAGTAAAAGCTGGCACGTTCTACAATGGAAATATGACTTTAACTTCTCCTGTTTTTAACTGCTCTGCATGTGTAGGAGCACAGAACGTTAGTTGGAACAACTTATGACTATGGACACTTGTCAACCTACAAGTCTACAAATTAAAAGGTTGATGACTAATCAATTTTTCTCAGCTCAGAAACAACAACACTGTACTGAATTCACTTTAAATTAATTGTTAATTTAATGAGCACTAAGGTTGTCAGCTTGTCATGATAACATGCAACATTTATGCATGGCTCCCATGCAATGAAGAACACTATTAAATCTTTTTTTAGGTTTAATATTGAAGTGATGGATTTAGCTTTTAATGTTAGAGATTAAATACATATATGATAACGTGGGGTGTGGTTGAGTGAAAGTGACTTATTCATTCTTAATAAAATATCAAAAGTTGAATCATTGGTTTTGAGTATGGAGCAGCGCAGCCTTAAATCAATAAATAAGTTATCTACTAAATTTATACTAGGGGAATTAAAATGTTATTTCCCCAAAGAAAAAGAAAAGTGTGACAATGATTACTGAGCTGCAAAAAGAAGTCTAAATTGAAAAGCAGAAACATACTTCACGTTCTACTGGTTCATTCAATAGAATGAAGCAACATACCCATACACAAACACACACACATATATATTTCTAATCAGGTGAAACCAACATTAACTTGCGAACTGTGAATTGTGAAAGATTACACTGTTACGATTCAATCATATCTGAGTGTGGTATAATCTTTTATAAGTTCGCAGTTTGCATGTTAAGGTTGATTCTCACGACCATTATTGCAGCTCATACGCTACTATAGGAAAGGATGGAATTGAATTTGTCAGGAGAAGTTGTTGATGAAATGATGGATGTGATGGTTGACCTCCTCTGGTCTTTCTTGGTTGAGAAAATGGCCACCTCCTTCTATCACAACAATTTCTTCTAGCAAAGGCACATCTTTCTTGAACCCACCCCCATGTACATATTCTTTGATTCCTGGTGTGGTGTACACCATATCCATATCCCCAACCATGAACTTCACTGGAACTTTCACTTCTATCCCTGTCCACGCTGCTGTTAACTCCCAGTTCCTACAACCATCCACAATTTCATTCAGCTCAGCTCAGACAATTATATCATTTTTTTTGTTTTCTATTTCTTGTATTATATGTATACGAAGTATAAAAGAAATATAAATATTATAACTGTTGGGCTGAGGTCGATAAAGGGTAAGTCTTAGGGAATTGTTGGACAGAAGCCAGTGAAGAATAAGTCTAGCGTCTTACCTCTAAAAAATGTGAGGCGACAGCGATCTATAAGGAAATAAAGTTGCTCTTTTGCTACTAACTATAACGTTTTATCATAGCAGTAAGAGCTTGATCCTAACAAGTGATATCAGAGTCAAGTCAAGGAGAATCCCAGCAAAAGTAAAAGATGTGCAGTTAAAACGGGCACGTGCTAAAGGGGAAATTGTTGGGTGGTGGTTGATAAAGGGTCAAGTCCACCAATTGATGCCTAGGGATTAATGTTGGGTGCATGGAGGCTGGTGAAAGGTCTAAGTCCAGCAAAGACCCTACCTCTCGAAAATGCACCCCGGTACATAAGAAAATAAAGTTACGCATTCGCTACTAGTTAGCTATAGCTTTTGATGACTTAGTGGTAAAGATTTGATCTTAACAATAGCTATACTTACAAATTTATTGAGCGATAATAGTTCAATCCGCCGGTAAAGCCCTTGAGGTCATACTTGGAAGCGTAGTACTTGAGGTCTTGTTCGGATAACCAAGACGGTAATTTAGGCTGATCGGTGGAAATGCCAAAGGGATTTTCCTTTGGTAAGCATGGAGGCCCTGCTTTTCGATCGGTGAATATTTTCCTCAAAACTTTTTCACTGCCGTGTATGGCGATATCAGATTCAATCCTGCCTTCTTCCTGCAGCAACGTACCAAACATAATTAAGGCTAAGGGTGACATTAATAATAATAATCAATCCTTCAGTGTACAAACTTTTATGACGACTTTAAAGACTGTTTTAGGGGCAGGTTATGTTTGGTTGATAGGATGGAACATAATTAACATAGTTATGGTAAACAGTTGGATCAGCAACATTAATATAAACATAAAAATATGTTTGCACATTGGTAAAGATTGGCGGTGCTTTTACTTCTGTGCACCTAACCCTATGGGGCATTGTTTAGTTTAAAATAGTAAGACTTGTTAATCATATTTTACGTCACATTAATCAGAAAATTATCTTTTTCTTTGCTCGGCTAAAAGTTTAAAAATTACATTTTTTGTTTGGTTATTTTACTGAAAGTAAACATATTATTGTAATAATAATTAGTGTGGTGTTGGTAGTCATGGTAATTGTTGTGGTGTGGGGGTGGTGATGGTGATGAGAGACCGAAAATAAAAAATTCAGAAAATATTTTTTGACTAAAATTTTACGAAAATATTTTTTTTGTTGACTAGAATAAACATTTGTCTTTGACTTTGTTTTTTTTTTTTTTTTTTTTACATAAATAGGGAAATACGAAAAAAATTGAAAATGACTTCTCATAGTCATTTTACTAGTTTTCAAAAATGGACCGTAAATTAGATCAGTAATTCAAACAAAATAAACATATACGCGTACTTTAATATGACTTTTACAAAATATAACATTGAGACAATACAAGGTATCCTGACATACTCTAATTATAAGAGACACCTTTAAGCCTGCACCATATTAAAACTAATCTCTGATACAAAAAGGAGTTTGAACTCCTAACCTTTCTTAAGGGACTAGAATACACGGCCATTCATACCAATCAAGCTGGTTATCTTATTTTATTTTTATGTGTCTAATTCTATTAATAAAATTTAATTGAAATTATTTATCATTTAATTTTCATAATATTAAATTTAATATTTATATATATAACTTTTATATTTAGAAACTATAATATAAGAAAATACTTAAAATTTTAGTCAAAATAGGGTACCTTGATTAACTGTATTATGGGAGGAGAAATTTAATTAAGGGTTAATTTTATTTTTTGGTCCAAAATTTATATGTGACAATTCACTTTTAATCATTTTTTTTTTCAGAATATTTCTTTTGATTCTAGTAGTATTAGGGCATGACAACTTTTGGTCATCCATCAACAAAACTGTTTAAATTCTATAAAATCTAAAAGCATTTAGGTATTCAATATGATTTTTTTATATAAAAATATAACGAGTCAACCTACTTGGTATAAAAAAATCAAAATGTCAACAATTTTATTGACGAAAAACCAAAAATGATCAATGTCACAATAATACTAGAATCATAGAAGATTGATGTTCTGAAAAAAGACTAAGTGGACAAACACCTATAAATCTAGAACTAAAAATGGAATTAAGTCTTAAATTAATTACCTGAAATCTGCAGATGTAGTAATCGTCTCCAAAGAAAGCCCTCATGGCCTCAACCGGCTTCATCGTGGGATGGCGGGGGCGGAACGGCACCGAGATATCCACAAACGCCTTCACCAAATCGGGGCGAAACATGCAGAAATACCAACCGATAATGGCGCCCCAATCATGAGCCACCAAGAACACTTTATCCACCCCAAGGGACTGAACCAGCGCCACGAGGTCTCCCACCACGTGGAGGCACGTGTAGCTGGAGGGCTGCAGGGAGGGGGCATCCGTCTCGCCGTAGCCGCGGAGATCCGGCGCCACGGCGCGGTAGCCCAGGCCGGCAAAGAACTGCAACTGGTGGCGCCAGGTGTACCACAGCTCCGGGAAGCCGTGGAGGAAGAGAATGACGGGGCCTTGCCCCTTCTCCGCCACGTGCATGTTGATTCCGTTAACTTTCACGGTTTTGTGCTCGATGCCTTCCATCTTAGATGAGCTAGATATCTGTATGAGATGTAGGATCGAGCTTTGTTATATACTAGTAATACTACTTTAATTTAATTTGCTAACTGTGTTGGACGATTATTGCAATACTTTCATTTAATGCACTACTGCCAAAATTAAAACTGCGTGAAGCATGTTCTCGTTAATTGTATGTGACCAACAAGGATGGATTATTTTTATTGTGAGTTTCTCAAAAAGTACTCATATTAAGAATGTGAGAGTGGAATAAAAGTTAGGAATAGGAAATAAGGGTATATATATTTAAGTAGTATTTTTCATTATTTCAATTTAAAGCCGGTGGGCATAATTCTGTAAATAATAATAACAATAATAATAAAATTCGCTGATTAATCATTTTTTTTAATTAAAATATTTCAGTTCAGTTAATGGTTAAGGATTTTTAAGAATTTTAGTTTATAATTAATTGGGTTCAATTCGAACATGTCGGTTAACTGAATTAACAGATCAGTTTACTGAATTATATGTGTGTGTATATATATTATGGATCATATGCGAATGTTTCTTTAGGTAAAAAATAAGGTTTAATCTCATACAATGATCCAGTCAAGAATCAAGATCAAGGGTCAAGAATGAAGACAATTAAAAAAACGAGGTGGCATTATGGTAAATATGTGTAAATTAGTTCAGATGTGCTTTGTATCCAAGGGTAGATTTTCCTTCTTCGTATGCATATTTTCCCTTCTTCAAGTCCATGTGTTTTGTCTTAGTGCATAGTTTTTCCTTATCTTACTGCTTTTAAGTTTTAAGTGAACCATTTTGGCCTTCAAGTGCACATTTCTTTGCGTTTAAGTAGACATTTTTGTGCATTCAAGTGAATATTTATGGGGTCAATGTTTATTATCTGCCTTCTTTTCAATAAAGTATAAGTAAATTTCTAATGAAATTTGTGAGATTTACAAATGATTTGTATGGGTAATTGCTTCAGTAACACTTAAGTTGAATAACTTCCATTTTTATACCATAAATTGCATCGATTGCACATCTTTTTGCCTTCGAGTGTAGAATTTGGCTTTCATGTGCACAATTTTGTGCATTTAAGTGCAAATAATGGGTCAATATTTGTTATATCTTTAGTATTCTTTTCAACAACGTATAACTAACTTATGATCTGTATGAGGTGTAGTGTTTATACTACTTTAGATCTAGCTTTGTTATATACTACTCCCTCCGTTCCATTTGATGTGTCTGGTTCAATTAACGAGCAAGTTATTTTTAATTCAATTTTTTATAATGTTAAATTTAGAATTAAATTAGTATACAAAATTTATATATTTAGAAACTACACTAAAATTACTATTAAATATAAAAAATCAAATTTAAAAATGAGTAAAAAATACTAAAAAAATAAACAAAGAAGAAAGAATTCGTTTGACCAATGAATAGTAAGTAGGACGGAATGAATGAGTACTTTAATTTGCTAACTGTCATGAACGATTATTGCAATACTTTCATTTAATGCATGCACTACTGTCAAAATCAAAACTGCGTGAAGCATGTTCTTGTTATAAATTGTGTGCCAAATGAGGATAGATTATTTTTATGGTGAGTCTCCAAAAAAGTACGCATTAAGAATGTGAGGGTTGGAATACAAGTTAAGAGTAAGAAATGATGGTTTACATATCTGAATAATATTTTCCGTTACTTAAATTTAAGGGTGTGTATAATTCTGTAAAAAAAAAAAAAAAAAATTGATTAACCAACTGAACCAATAAAATTCACAGGTTAACCATTTTTTAATCAAAATATTTCAGGTTGGATAACGGTTAAAATTTTAGTTTACGGTTAATTTGGTTCGAAATTGAATTACATGTGTATGTATATGTTTTAATTTTTTATAATTCATAAGTAATGCTATTAGATTAGTTTTTCAAAATTTATCAATTATGTATTGATGTAATGACTATTATGTCGTGCTGAATTATAAATTTACAAATTTTATGTATAATTTAAGAATTTTTAAATTTAACTAAAATATTTCTACTAATCTGTTAACTGACCTATTAACCCAAAAAAAAAATTAAAAAATTCCGTTTGATTAATTTAAAAATAAGAATTTCAATTTGGTTAATGGTTAAAGTATTTAGAAATTTGATTAATTATGTTCGGTTATTAACTGAATTAACCAAATAAACACCCCTACTTAAATTACTTGTATATGTAAGCCTTGTATGAGATCATCTTTAAGGATATAGACATGTAATTTTTTTTATTTAAAATATAATGATTCTTTATAGACTCGTAAAAAGTATTATATTTTAATTAGAAATATCACATGTCTCACACAAAATTTATTCTAAGACCTAGATATATATAATGTTGGGGTCCGAAGAGGACATTCGGATTTGAGTATGACCCCTTATCTCGACCACGGTGACCATGTTCATCGGCCTTGACCCACCTCATAGTTGAGACCTTGGTCAATGGCATAGTTTTTCAATTGTTATACCATAGACCAGGATCCACCTTACAAGAAACAAAAACCTAGTACTAGTCAAATGTCTAACTATCAAAAAAAATTAGTAAATATGGTTAATTTGTGTCTTCTTCTAAAATGATTTTTTTTTTTACCATTGACAAAAACTATGAACCAATTCAACATTGGCCATAACTTTCGGGACAGCGGTGGTGGTCTACCCATTCAAGATTTATGCTCAAATATTGTAGTGTTCAATATTCTCGTCCACAATAGTTATGTTGGTCGATAATTGCATCTAATATGTTTCTAAATCTCGATTTTGGTTTGAAGAGATTTTACCTACCGAAAATCATCTTATACTGATCAAAAACATTGGTCAAAAAATACCAATGTTCTAGCAGTGACAACTTTTATCTTCATCTTTTTGATACCATGAAATTTAATATATGATATTAGAAAAACAAAATGGAAAGACGTATTCTGAAAAATTAGGTGGTTGATATTTAAGTCTAAATCTATAATACAAAATAAGTTAAGGTTGTTCGGGTGGGGTATTCCATATATTGACCTAAACAACTCATTTAAAAGGTTTGTTTTCATTTGTCAAACTGGCTGTCTTCATTTACTCCACTCATTCATTTCTCCATAATGCCCAAACTAAGCTAGGTTGTTACACTTGACAGTTCACATTGTTTTTCATTTGTAAAAAGATTCTAATGCCGTCCAAACAAGCCAATTCAAAATTTTCTTCTCCGGCCGGGAGACGAAGATACCTTCTAGACTATGTTCTTTAAAAAAAAAATATTATTTTAAATAATTAATTTTTTAAAAATATTTTAAATTTTGATGACCTGTTAAAAAATGGAAAAACATGCAGATTGGACGAATGACATAAAATGAGTTAGTTTGGGGATTCAATTGTAACTTTTTTAGGTTCAGTGTTTTAATTGCATTATCCTGTGCACTTAGATGACATATTTGACCATTATTCCTTTTTTTATATAAATAAAATCAATTAATATTGATTGAAGTTTTCTAAAATACCTGGCTTTTCTCTGTATACTTTCTAAAAAAAAAAAAATTAAAATATTTTAGTCATACCAACTATATTATATTTAAAACAAAAAAGTGGGATGACAAAATTGTCCTATTTCATTTTTTAGAAAGAAAATGTTATATTAAAAGTTATTATAGAAGTTTGCGAAACCACTTTTTTTGTTGGTTAAATATTATTATACTCTTCTAAGTTGGTCTTGTGTAAAAGTGTCTCATGCTAAACAGGTAATACTATTTAAGAAAAATGTGATATTTTCTTTTATAAATCAACAAATATTTCATTTTCATTAAAAATGTTACAATTTTGGTAATACTTTTCAAGGAACAAATGATTAATATTTTTCACTAAAAATGTGATACTCGTTAATTTATATATAAAAGTATTATATTTTAGCTAAAAAAAAACTTATATATTTAAAATTTGTCTCATATAAGAGTATGATACCGTCTCACATATATTTTTTGTGTATTCTTCTTAGAGTAAATACCCAAAATAGTCCATCGACTATAGTTAAATTCACAAATTGGTCCTCGACTTTCGATTTCAACCAATTAAGTCATTAACTTTGTAATTTTAACACAATTTGGTCCTCTGTCTATTTGACCGTTTGTTGACTGTGATTTTTGATGATATATATGTAATTTCATGGTCCATCGTCGATTTTTTAATGTTCTGGTTGCATTTCCAGACTGCACTGTTACATTTGAATCCACTGCCGAAAGCAATCTACCAAATCCGGTCGCCTTTCTTCATCCTCCCTTGGATTCAATGTAGTTGAGTTCGTACCAAAGCGAAGAAGACGACGTGTTTCCGAACCAGTGCAACGTCATCTTGGAGGCCTCCACGTGCTCCGACGAGAGCTGAAGGTTCTTATGGAGATCGTCGATCACGGTCAACAAACGGTCAAATAGATGGAGGACCAAATCGTGTCAAAATTACAAAGTTAAGGACTTAATTGGTTGAAATTGAAAATCGAGGACCAATTTGTGAATTTAGCTATAGTCGAAGGACCATTTTGGTATTTACTCTTCTTCTTATTATATTGGGATATCCAACAAAAATTATATCATCTGATCTCATTCAAATATTCAATAAATTAATAGGTCCATTATTACAAAGAAATATTCTTTAAATAAAAAAATTTAAAATAATGAAATGTTTATTGCAAAATTGAGAATATATTATTTAGTCAATGTATTAAATATATTCTTTTAAATTTGTTTTTCTAGTTAAAAAAAAAAAAAAACATTTTTTTCTACACAAATTATTTACCCCGTTATCTTATTTTTTGTGTCTAATTCGATTATGATGCTTAACTCAAAGTATTTATTCCTAAAAAAAATAAACTCAAAGTATTTACAATAAAAAATTCTAAGGTCTTCTGTCATTCTGAGAGTTTTATTTTGGCGAGGTGGGAGGGGTTCTATTTTTCTGTAGGGGGAACTGGCACGCCGGTAATGGGATCCAATAAAATATTTTAGAAAATAAAATTTTATACTGTCAGAGCTAGTATTTATGGCACAAAA